CTACTGAGCACCTGGCCCGTCTGTGCGAGCGAGGTCGGGCCGAGAAGGCCTACAAGACGGGGCGCCCAGTACACTGCCTTGACAAGATGGATGGCGGCCAGGCCACCGCCAGTGCCGAGAGACTGCAGGAGGCTCACGCCTTCTACACTCAACTATTCCAGGACGCGACCAGTGACCGACAGCTGCCAGATTGGATCCACCAGCAGTGGTCAGCCGAGGAGCAACAACAGTCCGCGCCTTTGAGCCCCCCGCTTCTCCGCATGTGCATCGGCCGCCTCAAGAGCTGCAAGTCCTGCGACGAGACCGACATGATCGTGGACGAAATGCTCCAGGGGCTGGAGACGGACGTCTTAGAGCACCTGCTGCAGGCCTTCAGACTGCGGCTTAGAAATCACACCTCGGAATATTTCGACGCGGCCTGGAGTGGTCACGTGGTTCAGCTCATCCGAAAAGTGCCAGACGCCCGAAAAATCAGTCAGTTTTGCCCGATAGCCCTGATTTCGGTGTTGCAGAAGATACTGAGCATGATGGTGATGGAAACGCAGCGAGGAGTGATCGAATCGTGTCGCAGTGAGAGCCAGTTCGCTTTTCGTAAAGGTTATCAGGTCCACGAAGTCATATATAGCTTGCGCCACTTAGTAGAGAAGTTCTGCGAGTATAAGGACCCCCCACTCGTCGTCGTGGGCGGAGACATTAGAAAGTTGTTTATGATTTTATTCAGCACGCCGCTCTGGCCCGCCGCCTCGACAGTCACGGGGTCGCACGCGTAGCTATCTCGTTTTGGATCCGTGAAACTCGCCGCTCTCAGGCCAGAGTTCGCCTCCCTGGGAATGCCCTCACGGACCAGATTCGGCGTGGGAAGTCCCTCATCCAGGGAGACCCTGCGGCGCCCGAGCTCAGCAATGTTTTTCTCGACCGGTGTCTTTTCGCTTTCCACGACCTCTGCCGCAAAAATGGCTGGGGTCTTTGTTTGACCACCCCTGGAGAGGAGGATGAGGTTTTAGGTGTCTTGAGTTTCGCCGATAATTTTTGGATCTTAGCGAGATCGGTCTCGATGGCCGCGATGATGACTGAAGCTTGGCTTCGAATCCTTGAGCGTAGTGGTCTAGAGGTCCCTGTGCAGGAAATGGAGTGGTGCCACGCGTATCCGTCACATATCGGCACGCTTCGCGTACGTGGCACGTGCATCCCCTGCAGAGCCAGAGCCGAAGGCTTGAAAGTGCTCGGGGCTTTTGTTGCCTTCGATCGCAGCTGCACACACGAGGTCTGCAACAGAATTCAGCGCGCGTGGCGCACTTGGGCCGTTCACCGTGCAATGCTGACCAATCGAAAGATAAGCTTTCAGAAAAGATTGAAGGCCCTGGACCGTTGCGTTCGCCCAGCCCTGACCTATTGCATAGGGAGTCTACGTATTACTGTCTCTGCCATGAGTAGGATCTCTAAATGTCACAATACCATGCTTAGACGTATGATCCGTCCGCCACGCGGAGAATCCGCAGCCGAATATGTGAAGACCGCCATGCATTGCGTTGCTGATGTCAGAGCTAGATACAATGCAGAATCGTGGCCCCACACCTGCAGAAGGATGCAGCACAATTGGGGCGGTTTCTTACAGTCTTTGGGCAGAGCCTGTCCTGAGAGGATCGCGTACCGCGTCCTTCGGTATCACGATAGGGCATGGATGATTGAAATGACTAGATGGCAGGGCTCCCAGTTGCATCACCGTACAGTCGGGATCTGGCGTTGGGAGCGTGACTTCTATAAGTTTTATGGGGGCCGCTTGCTTCTGAAGCCCGTCTCAGGGCTGTCTTGGAGAGAGGGACAGAAGACGTGGCTTGAATGGCGGAAATCTTTAAGATAATTCTCGACGCTGCTACCCTTTAAGTTTCTGTGAGCGGCGTCGGGCCCAGGAGGCACCCCTGTATGACGCCTACGCAACGCAACGCAACGTCGTCGTCGGCGTCGTTGTCGTCGTCGTCGTTGTCGTCGTCGAAAACATTGGAGACGTCGTCGGTGTCGTCGCAGTCGCTGTCGGCCGCGCCGTCGTCGTCGATATCGCTGTCGTCGTCGGCATCGGTGTCGTGGCCAAGTGCCACGCAGTACCTACCGTCACGGTCTTGTCTGAAGATGTCTTGCGACCAAGTTGCGGGTGGGAGGGTGGGATGTTTGCACGAGCAGTGGAGAGGACAGCTTCAAGACAGTCGAAGTGGGTTGCACCGCGTAGATTTCGCCGCGCACTGTACATACGTTTTCTTTTTTCTAAAGAGACAATAGATTCTGCCCCCTCCCCGGCGTTATCCGCCCCCCTCTCGGGTATGTAAATCATATATGATTATGACCACATGTCCATCTGAAGTTTGAATTTACACTATCCCAAAGGGGCCGGGATCGGCCACCCTGAGGTTCCTTATATATATATATATATATATATATATATATATATAGTTGTATATGTATATGTACATGTAGAAGTATATATATATATATGTACATATATATATATATATATAACACGATCCGCGAGACATTTTTTGCTCTAGCATCGCACTTTTTCATTAATCCCTCGCAGAAAAAACTGGGCGAACTGCACACGCGCGCGTCGTCCCGCGCATGCCGAAATCCTTCAAAAACCTTCGGTGCCGGAAGGATTTCGCAATCGAGTTTCCAAACCACATCCAAAAACGCAGGGATTCGCAACACTGATTTTGCTCAGAAAAATTACAACATGCTACCAAACGGGCTTCGCACGCATGTCGAAATCTATTGAACGCCCTTGCGCGTGTGCCGTCGCGAGAATCCTTTGCAAGAAATGGGACGAAGTGCAGACGCGCGCGTCGTCGCGCGCGTATGCCGAAATCCTTCAAAACCCATCGGTTTCGGAAGGATTTCAAAATCGTGTGTCCAAGAAACCTTACAAAAACACAAAGTTTCGCAACACGGATTGTCAACAAAAGCGTGCGCGCGTGCTCTTGCGTCGTCGTCGTCGTTGTCGTCGTCGCTGTCCTCCCTCATCCCGCGTCGTCGTCGTCGTCGTCGCTTACGTCGTCCTCTGTATTTCCACGTGTTTGTCGTCGTCGTCCTCTTTGGCGTCGTGGTCGTTTCAGTCGTCCTTGTCTCCGTGGTCGTCCTTCCTTCTCCTCCCTCGTCGTCGTCGTCGTCCGTCGTCGGCGTCTCGTTGTCGTCCCTCCTATGTCGTCGCCGTCGTCGTCGTCGTCGTCGTTGTCGTCGTTGTCATCTTCCGTCCTCCCGCGTCGTTGTCGTCGTCGGCGTCGCCGTCCTCCCTCTTTTGTCGTTCGCGTCGTCGCCGTCCTCCCTACTCCCTCGTCGTTGTCGTCGTTGTCGCCGTCGTCGTGCTCCCTCCTCGCTCGTCGTCGTCGTCGTCTTCGTTGGCGACGTCGTCGTCGTCGGCGGCGTCGGCGTCGGTGTCGGCGTCGGCGTCGTCGTGGTCGTCGTCGACGTCGTCGTCGTCGTCGTCGCCGCCGTCGTCGTCGTCGTCGTCGTCGCCGCCGTCGTCGTCGTCGTCGTCGTCGACGTCGTCGTCGGCGTCGTCGACGTCGTCGGCGTCGGCGTCGTCGTCGTCGGCGTCGTCATCGTCGGCGTCGGCGTTGTCGTCGTCGTCGGCGTCGGCGTCGTCGTCGTCGTCTGCGACGTCGTCGTCGTCGTTGTCGTCGTCGTCGAAGTCGTCGGAGACGTCGTCGGTGTCGTCGTAGTTGTCGTCGGCATTGTCGTCGTCGTCGTCGGCGCCGGTGTCACTGCCAAGTGCCATTTGGAACCTACCGTCACGGTCGTAAGAGGTTGTGCAAACCAAGTTGCGGGTGGGTGGGTGGGATGTTTGCAAGAGCATAGGATGTGTCACATCATGTGCGAAAATCAATTGCACCAATTAGATTGCGCCGCATCTATTGCAAACGTACAGGGCGCCACTACCAAATGAGTTTTGCGCTAGGCATGTTTCACACGCATTACACGACACGAGTTGCATTACACATATTGCACCACGTATATTGCACAACATAGGTTGTACCACCTCGGATTGCATTATATATTCCGTAGCACTTATCATACGTTCATAACAGTGAGGGGGTGGTGGCGATGTCGGCAGTCTGCGAAACTATGGAGAAGCCCGCCGCAGGCGCCAATATTTCACACATTCTACAACGAGCCCGCCGCAGGCGTTGTTTTTTTCGTTCGACCACTGCGGGTGAGTCGCAGATGTGTCGCAAATGGGTCGCGGCTGGGTCGTGGGTGGGTCGCTGTTGGGTCGCGGATGGGTCGGGGATGGATCGCCCGTGGGTCGCGGGTGGGTCGCTGTTGGGTCCCGGGTGGGTCGCGCGTGGGTCGCGGATGGGTCGCGGGGGGTGGGTCGCAGGTGGGTCGCAGGTCGCGGGTCGCGGGTGGGTCGCGGGTGGGTCGCTGTTGGGTCGCGGGTGGCTCGCGGGTAGCTCGCGGGTGGGTCGCGGGGTGGGTCGCGGGTGGGTCGCAGGTGGGTCGCGGTGGGTCGCGGGTGGGTCGCGGGTGGGTGGGTCGCTGGGTGGGTGGCGGGGTGGGTCGCGGGGTGGGTCGCGTGTGGGTCGCGTGTGGGTCGCTGGGTGGGTCGCGGGGTGGATCGCGGGCGGGGTCGCGGGTGGGTCGCGGGGTGGGTCGCGGGGTGGGTCGTTGGGTGGGTCGCGGGGTGGGTCGCGGGCGGGACGACGACAGCAAACAACGATAACGCAACAGACGTAATCCCCAACACGGATCCCCATTTGAGCCACGCACCCAGGGACAATGAATGACCGTTCGGCCCCCGCACTCTGATCAGAGTGCGGGGGCTGAACTAAACGGTCATTAACTGTCCCTGGTTGCGTGGCTGAAGTGGAATTCCGCAATGCGGATTCTTGTTGTTTGTTGTTTGTTGTTGTCGCCGTAGCCCTTTTGGCTCAAGCATTTTTTGTTTCGGCTCCAGCAGTTCCGGCACGGTCACTCTGGCCCGGCAGCACACGCGCGAGAGCCATGCAGACATGTCGGAGCAGGAGTTCGCGGTGAGGGTGAACGACCAGTTGAAGTCGACGGAGCTGAGGCTGTGCGGCGCGCTCGGCAGGGACAAGAGGCATGGTGTTCACATGCGGGCTTTCTGGGCGTCGACAGTATCTTTCTTCGTGGCGTTCGTGGGTTGGTTCGCCCTGAGCCCGATCGCTATCGAGGTGGTCCACAGCATCGACGCTTGCGAAAACCAGCTCTTCCCACCGGTTGCGAACCCAGAGAGGAAAGCATTCTTGAAGTTCAAGGCGACCGAGTCGGGGAAGAAGTATTGCCAGTATGGGAAGATCGGAGAGGATAACAATCCGACTGGGTGCCAGGATGTGCCGCAGGACGTTTGGGACGAGAGTTGTGGCGGGGTGGCGGCCACCGCGTGCACGCAGAGCGAGACGCTCACGGACGACGTCGATCTGTGCCCCAAGGCATGCATGAAATATAATTTCGAAGTCCTCCCTAAGTGCGTTTGCAGCCCGGGCACGCACTGCGGTTCGACGATCCTGTATTCAAGCATCACGTCGGTCGGCATCACGATCATTGTGCGCGTGGCGCTCGGCACCCTCCTCGAGAGGTTCGGCCCGTTCAATGTGCAGTCTGGCCTCATGCTCTTCGGAGCCATCTGGGTCTTCGCCGCGTCGGGCATCTCGGCAGAGTGGAACTTCATCTTCATCCGCATGATGTTGCGCGGGGGCCACGTTCGTCACAAATCAGTTCTGGTGCTCCCTCATGTTCGCCCCGAACGTGGTGGGCACCGCCAACGCGACTGCAGCGGGGTGGGGCAACCTCGGCGGCGGCGTCACACAGATTTTCATCGTGTGGTGCTTGTTCAAGCCCTTCCAGGCGATGGGCGCGAGCTCTGACACGGCTTGGCGCCTGTCCATGGCCGTCCCCGGTTGCATCTTCGTCGCGGTTGCCGTCAGCATGAAGCTGTTTTGCTGGGACATGCCAACGGGGCCCCGCTTCAAGACCAGCGACACGGGCAAGACATCAAACGCGTCGGTGTGGGATTACGTGGAGTGCCTGAAGGACCCCAGGATCGTCATTATGATCTTCCAGTACGGCGCCTGCTTTGGCACGGAGCTGGTCATGAACGCGCAGCTGGCCACCCATTTCCGCGTCTACTTCCAGCTGGAGGCTGGCGCTGCCTCTGCCCTGGCAGGCTCCTTCGGCCTGATGAACTTGTTCGCGCGCTCATTGGGCGGCATCTTCAGCGATTTTCTTTTCGCCAGATTCGGTTTCTCTGGCCGTATTTGGGCTCAGTTCCTCTGCCTTTTCCTCGAGGGCATCTTCCTGCTCGGCTTCGGATCTGAGGAGAGCTCGCAGCCGTGGTACGTCGCCCTGGCCGTCTTGCTGGGTTTCTCTCTCTTCGTGCAGATGACCGAGGGCACCAGTTACGGCATCGTGCCGTTCATGAACCCGAAGCAGCTCGCGTGCACAGCCGCGCTGGTGGGGGCGGGCGGGAACTTGGGCGCCGTGATCGCCCTGTGGTGTTTCTACAACACCCTTGGGCCCATCGACACCCTGCTCCCGTTCAAGATCCACGGTGCCTACGTGATCTTTTGGGCGATGACCTCTCCGGCGTTCTACTGGACCGACAAGGGCGGCATGTTCTGCGGCGGCATTGACCCCGCCTTCCAGAAACCCGCGCCCAAGGAACCAACAGTGGCTTAGATCCAACTCGAGGGCCAGCCAGAGCGGCGAGAGAGAATCACAGCGCAGCCGCTTCTGCTAGATTTCTCCGTTGGGGGACAGTTGGGCGCCTGATGGAGTCTCGTACTTTTGCTGTCTCCGGGCGGCCTCGGGGGCCAAGGAGGAGGCCATTCCGGTGGCCGAGGAGGAAATCAACATTGGAGCGTCTGGAGGGCGACCAGATGCCCCGAAGCGATGCTGGTCTGGAGCTCAGCACCGTGACTTTGTGGCGTTCCTACATCATGAGAGCCTCCGTAGAGGGCGGCCAGATGCCCCGAAGTGATGCTGGAGCGAAGCCCAGCACCGTGACTTTGTGACGTCCGACGTCGTCCTTCCCTCTTCCATGCCTCCCAAGAGTGCCCTACCCTCCCTCCCCCGTCTGGTTTCCGATAATTTGCCGGCGTGGAGTGCGTGTCTGAAGGCCGTCTCATGCAATGGCAGAACAATTTGCGTGTACGTTTTGCGACCGCACTTGCGCGGTGGGAGGCAAGTTAAGCAAAGATTGCTTGCTGATTAGTTCAGAACGAGGGTGCGAGCTTGAAGGCCGTCTCTCAGCCCGCGTGCCATCCTGGCCCGCTAAGAGGAGAAGGAGGACCATCGGAGGGGAGAGAAAGAACAAACAAATGTTGTTTGTTGTTGTCGTCGTCCCATCCGCGACCCGCCCCGCGACCCGCCCGCGACGCGCCCGCGATCAACCCCGCGACCCACACGCGACCCACCCCGCGACCCACGGGCGACCCACCCGCGATCCACCCGCGAACCACCCGCCGACCCACCCGCGACCCACGGGCGACCCACCCGCGACCCATCCGCGACCCACCCCGCGACCCACCCGCGACCCACCCGCGACCCACCCGCGTCTCGTCGTCGTCCTTCCTATTTCGTCGCCGTCGTCGTCGTCGTCGTCGTTGTCGTCGTTGTCGTCTTCCCTCCTCCCTCGTCGTTGTCGTCGTCGGCGTCGCCGTCCTTCCGCCTTCTTCGTCGTTCGCGTCGTCGCCGTCCTCTCTCCTTCCGCGTCGTTGTCGTCACTGTCGTCGTTGTCACAGTCGTCGTCCTACCTCCTCCCTTGTCGCCGTCTTCGTTGGCGACGTCGTCGTCGTCTTCGTCGTCGTCGTCGGCGACGGCGTCGTCGTCGTCTTCGTTGTCGTCGACGTCGGCGTCGTCGTCGTCGCCGCCGTCGTCGTCGTCGTCGTCGTCGTCGTCTGCGGCGTCGTTGACGTCGTCGTCGTCGTCGGTGTCATCGTTGTCGTCGTCGTCGGCGTCGTCATCGTCGTTGTCGTTGTCATCGTCGTCGTCGGCGTCTGCGTCGCATCTGTTGCACACGTACAGGGCGCCACTACCAAATGAGTTTTGCGCTAGGCATGTTTCACACGCATTACACGACACGAGTTGCATTCCTTATATTGACCACGTATATTGCACAACATAGGTTGTACCACCTCGGATTGCATTGTATATTCCGTAGCACTTATCATACGCTCATAACAGTGAGGGGGTGGTGGCGATGTCGGCAGTCTGCGAAACTATGGAGAAGCCCGCCGCAGGCGCCAATATTTCACACATTCTACAACGAGCCCGCCGCAGGCGCTGCTTTTTTCGTTCGACCACTGTGGGTGAGTCGCGGATGTGTCGCAAATGGGTCGCGGCTGGGTCGTGGGTGGGTCGCTTTTGGGTCGCGGATGGGTCGGGGATGGATCGCCCGTGGGTCGCGGGTGGGTCGCTGTTGGGGCCCGGGTGGGTCGCGCGTGGGTCGCGGATGGGTCGCGGGGTGGGTCGCGGGTGGGTCGCAGGTCGGGGTGGGTCGCGGTGGGTCGCTGTTGGGTCGCGGGTGGCTCGCGGGTAGCTCGCGGGTGGGTCGTGGGGTGGGTCGCGGGTGGGTCGCAGGTTTGGTCGCGGGTGGGTCGCGGGTGGGTCGCGGGTGGGTGGGTCGCTGGGTGGGTGGCGGGGTGGGTCGCGGGGTGGGTCGCGCGTGGGTCGCGTGTGGGTCGCTGGGTGGGTCGCGGGGTGGATCGCGGGCGGGGTCGCGGGTGGGTCGCGGGGTGGGTCGCGGGGTGGGTCGTTGGGTGGTTCGAGGGGTGGGTCGCGGGCGGGACGACGACAGCAAACAACGATAACGCAACAGACGTAATCCCCAACACGGATCCCCATTTGAGCCACGCACCCAGGGACAATGAATGACCGTTCGGCCCCCGCTTTCTGATCAGAGTGAGGGGGCTGAACTAAACGGTCATTAACTGTCCCTGGTTGCGTGGCTGAAGTGGAATTCCGCGATGCGGATTCTTGTTGTTTGTTGTTTGTTGGTGTCGCGGTAGCCCTTTTGGCTCAAGCATTTTTTGTTTCCGCTCCAGCAGTTCTGGCACGGTCACTCTGGCCCGGCAGCACACGCGCGAGAGCCACGCAGACATGTCGGAGCAGGAGTTCGCGGTGAGGGTGAACGACCAGTTGAAGTCGACGGAGCTGAGGCTGTGCGGCGCGCTCGGCAGGGACAAGAGGCATGGTGTTCACATGCGGGCTTTCTGGGCGTCGACAGTATCTTTCTTCGTGGCGTTCGTGGGTTGGTTCGCCCTGAGCCCGATCGCTATCGAGGTGGTCCACAGCATCGACGCTTGCGAAAACCAGCTCTTCCCACCGGTTGCGAACCCAGAGAGGAAAGCATTCTTGAAGTTCAAGGCGATCGAGTCGGGGAAGAAGTATTGCCAGTATGGGAAGATCGGAGAGGATAACAGTCCGACTGGGTGCCAGGATGTGCCGCAGGACGTTTGGGACGAGAGTTGTGGCGGGGTGGCGGCCACCGCGTGCACGCAGAGCGAGACGCTCACGGACGACGTCGATCTGTGCCCCGAGGCATGCATGAAATATAATTTCGAAGTCCTCCCTAAGTGCGTTTGCAGCCCGGGCACGCACTGCGGTTCGACGATCCTGTATTCAAGCATCACGTCGGTCGGCATCACGATCTTTGTGCGCGTGGCGCTCGGCACCCTCCTCGAGAGGTTCGGCCCGGTCAATGTGCAGTCTGGCCTCCTGCTCTTCGGAGCCATCTGGGTCTTCGCCGCGTCGGGCATCTCGGCAGAGTGGAACTTCATCTTCATCCGCATGATGATCGGTTGCGCGGGGGCCACGTTCGTCACAAATCAGTTCTGGTGCTCCCTCATGTTCGCCCCGAACGTGGTGGGCACCGCCAACGCGACCGCAGCGGGGTGGGGCAACCTCGGCGGCGGCGTCACACAGATTTTCATCTGTTGTTGTCGTCGTCCCACCCGCGACCCGCCCCGCGACCCACCCGCGACACGCCCGCGATCAACCCCGCGACCCACACGCGACCCACCCCGCGACCCACCCGCGACACACCCGCGATCCACCCGCGACCCACCCGCCGACCCACCCGCGACCCACGGGCGACCCACCCGCGACCCATCCGCGACCCACCCCGCGACCCACCCGCGACCCACCCGCGACCCACCCGCGTCTCGTCGTCGTCCTTCCTATTTCGTCGCCGTCGTCGTCGTCGTCGTCGTTGTCGTCGTTGTCGTCTTCCCTCCTCCCTCGTCGTTGTCGTCGTCGGCGTCGCCGTCCTTCCGCCTTCTTCGTCGTTCGCGTCGTCGCCGCCCTC